AATTTTAATGACTTAATTTTTTTTGAATTGTATGATTTGTATTGTGTATTTTTTGTTGTTTGTATATTTTGTTGTGCTTTTGTTTGTTTTGTGAGTGCTTTGTCGATGAAGTTGTTTTGGCTCTTTGCACAATAAAGCGTTGTTTGTTGTTGTTTTGTTGCCGAAATTTATATGGTCCATCTGCTATCCATCCTTCTTGCCAGGGAGTCCTGCCCATTGCCGTTTGAGGGATTTAATACTGTGGATGACATTTATTACCTGAGTCTTTTTTTTTTCTTTTTTTTTAAATTTTTTTACGGTCTTTCTTGGTTATTCCCAGCATATTTTGTTCCATTGAGCGTTGTGTGACCTACAGATTTCTTATAATATCCGGTTTAAGTGTCCAGATTTCGCATGCATACGTTATGACTGGTAGTACACATAAGTAGTACACTGGGTCGAACTTGTTTTTTTACTTAAGATGAAGTGGCATTCCAAATTTGAATATGATTGAGTTTCTTCTGTAAGTACTCCATGCTAACTTAATTCTTCTGATGATTTCTGGTAGTAGAGATCCGAAACTGTCTATTAGTTGTCCCAAATATATATATTCTTCTACTATTTCCAGTGTTCTGTTATTTATTAGAATGTCTTTTCTGTCTAGTAGTTCGTTGTTCATTACTTTAGTTTTTGCTAAATTCATTTCGAGACTAACTTTATTGCTGGCTGTCATCAGATCAGCTCGTTAATTTTTGCTTGTATTTCTTCAGGACTATTGACAATTAGGACTATGTAATCATCGTAACTTAGATGGTTAAGATATTTTCCATCTATTTCGAATTCTTTGTTAGTTCAGTCCAGTTGACGAAAGATTTCTTCTAGTGTTGCTGGAAACAGCTTTGGGGATATCGCGCTTCCCTGTCTTACTCCTTTACCAGTTGGGATCTCTAGGGTTCTTTTATATTATATCATTACTCTTGCTTTGGTTTATTTGTATATATTGACGAGAGTTTTTATATAAGACCTCGGTATCCTCACTAATAGGAAAAAAGACTGTAAAATATAATCTAGAATTCTTCATCTAAGAATTTTCAATAAAATTCCAGTTAATATCAGCTTAAAGACATTTGCTTCGTGAAAGTATACCAATTTCTCTAAAAAGATTTTATTATTTACTCATAATTAATTAAAAAAAATCCAATTCTCAGTTGGTGAACCGAATGAATAAAGATTTAGAACATTTCCTCTTGTGTTTTTAAAAATTATCATCTTATCTTTTCTGGTTTATTTTTAAGTCATTTCTCTTGAGAGCTTTAATGATGCTCTGAAATAATTAAGAACTTAACGAACTAGTCTCCTTTTACATTTTTAATTTAAATTTTATTTACATTGTTTGGTAAGCAATAATTTTAAAATGTCCTTTGTTTTCCTTTAAGAAAAAATATATTTTTTGTGTGGATGAATGTTTCTAAAATTAGAACATTCGCTAAAAAAGTTATAGGGTTTTTAGTCTAGTTTTAAAACATTGATACTATAAAAAATGCTAACACTGTACTTTAGTACAGAAAGTTTCTTGTCCAATAATTTCTTTTTTTCCATAGCAACTGTTAAAATTGCCTTATATCTATCAAAAATCGTAGATAAAATAATACTTTAACCGCAAGGGTCGATTAAATAATACTTTAACAGCGAGGATAACTTAAAAACTTTATTTCTTCTCGCACGTTTTTTAATTGCTTCCATTTTGGAAATTTTCGTATTCCTTTTCATAAGTTATTTGGGATTTAAATGGAAGTAGTTTGGATATGGCGTTTTTTGCCTCAGCCTGAATATCTGTTGGTAATTTACTTATTTCGTTTTAAGCCATTTCTGGCTCCAATAAAATCAGCAATCGGCTCGAAAGAGAATTAAAAAATATTTACTCAAAACTGACAACTAAAGAGAGAGCTTTGTTTATTTGTCAAATTACATAGAAAACCAACGCCAACCCAGCACAATATTTTTTCTACTCGTAATAAATTCCTTGAAATAATAATTTCTGAATATTTTTTATGACGTAACTCGCTATGGAAAAAATATTGTTTTATACACGACGATAAAATTGCATTATCGTCTCCCGAGATTAATTCACTTGCGATTTCATCTTGTATAAAAAATAACTAAAATCTTCTCTAATAAATTTTAAACAAGTTCGTACAAAAATGATAAAGTATATTTAAAAAACTAATAACTGTCAACTAACCCAAATATGCAAATGTGTGCTGTCATTTAACTTAAGCAGATAAAATGTATATACATACGCTATGAATATTCAAAATACGCTAAATACACCTAGGATTACCAAAAAAAAATCCGGGATAACCAACATAAAAGCCTCTCCAGTAATAGAATGCATTATCCCTATGCTACGTATTAATTCCGGAAATATTTCAAATCTGTACCGACATGAAGCTGTAAAAAGCTACAATAAAAAAATTCATATAGAGGCATATAAAAGGCACTAATAAAAATCAGAAAATTTGTTGCATCAAGTGTTTTTTGGATATAAACTGTTGTTGCAAACAGATTTGCCAAGTTTTCGATTATTGCATTCTTTGTAAAATTAATTGTATCATTAAATCAAAAATGTATAAAACTGTTGTTGTGTTTTATAAATTTAATGCAGGATGATCCAGTCTTCCCAACAATAGAATAGTAATATTTAAACGTCTGTTTCACCACAAACGATATAAGCCAAAAATACTATGGGCATCTACGCCCCAGCATCTTTCAGGCAAAAATCTAGGCTATCAAAAGATCCGTCGGAAACTATCGGAAACAAGAAATAACCAAATAAATTCTACTCTTCTACTCTAAGTGCTAGCCCACCAAGTGATAAAAAATAATAAAAATCAAACAATTTAGCTAGAAAAGAACCAACACTCCACTATTTGCATGGACCAGAACCGTTCTGCATCCCAAAAAACCAATTTAAAGCTGAACTTAAAAACCTGGAAAACTCCATCCATAACCTGGAATGGAAGATCGGCGGTATTAACGTTTGTTTCGATGTCGGAACTCGGAATTGTGTGTAGACGACTTACCTCGCAGGGTGTTGTACTCGGTAGAGCAGTTTCCACGCTGCGATCTATTGCGAGACGCAGCCCTTGGCTTTGGGATTCATCTTGTCGAAAAAGAGACGAAACCCCAAAAGACGAGCAAGTAGGTCGACCGAGAAGTTGCTGAATGAGCTTTTTTCATAACCCTGGTGGATATTTATAGTAGATTGTTCGTATTTTCTGTTGCTATCGCCGGGTGAAATATATTCATTAATACCACATAGGTTTTCTAAATAGTTTTACGCAATTCTAGTGAGCTTCGCATTCCTTTATCGATCTTTGTTTGAAAACCAACATATATAATTAAATGTTGTGTCAAATTTTTCAAAATTTTCCACCCTAATATTTTGACTAAGTTTGATGTTTCATAACTTTTTAATTTGTAATCTGATTTTTATGATTATGGTATTAGTTTGTAGATAAATTTGTTGGCGTTATTTTTTATTATTTTAATGTCTTATATATTTCGGTTAGGTGGGTTGTCATTGATGAAAACTTCGTTTTTTGCAATAAATTCAAAACATCCTGTGGAAAACATGGGACGGACGTTTTGGATATAAAACATTGTCCTTTCATCTTAGATGTATTCCTCACATTTCATTTTTTGAATTATCATATTATATCTATTCTTTTATGAGCTACACATTTTTAAATAAAGTACTGATATTTTTACAATCTTGAAATTGTTGAAAATTGAGCTCTCAATGTCCACCGTTTCATTGAGGATGTCCTCCAAGAAGTTATTGTTTCATTTGCTCCTTTTATTGGAAATCAATTTGTGGTGATGCTTTTTTAACTTAATGACAGGCCCCACATTCAACGGGGTAACGAGTAGTTAACGAGTACCTAGATGAGGTTGGACTACCAATATTGGAATGGCCTCCTTGTTGTCCCGACCTGAATCCAATTGAACATTTGTGCGATGAACTTAAAAGATCTATTAGTCGTCGTCCTATTCCACCGCAAACTTTACAAGAACTATGGCTATCATTAACGGAGATTCCTCTGCTAGCGTCCGGATGCTAGCTAGAGCTCTTGTAAAAGGTTTTCTTGATCTTTGGCTTGTTATACATCAAGCTATAGATGAAGAAAGAATAGCTACCCTTATTCATTCGATACGACAAAACCTAAAGCTGTTATTGCCGCGAGAGGTGGACATACGCGCTATTAAAATTATTATAAAAGTATTGTTTTTGTCAATAAAATAATCTCTGAAATCAATACTTTACATAAAAAGTTGTATCTCATAGAAGAATAGAGGTAAAGGGATAATTCAAAAAATAAAATGTTAGGAATACATCTAAGATTACAGGAAACTGTTTCTTATCTAAAATGCCCGCATCATTTTTTCCACAGGGTGTTTTGAATTTGTTGCTAAAAACAACGTTTTGATTTTACCCCGGTATAAACCAAAAAAGAGCCATTAAAATAATAAAAAATAATGCCAATAAATTTATCTTCACACTGATATCATAATCATAAAAATCGGATTATAAAATAGAAAGTTATGAAACATGAAACAGTCAAATTTATAGAGTGGCGAAATTTTGTGTCGGGGAGGATAGAATATTTTTATCCACTCTTCAAGTCTCGGGTCATTAGAGAGATTACGACTCGAGAACTGCTCATAATAACAACCAGCCTCAATGTTGTCAACTATCAGTCCCCACTATTTATTTACCCCGCGTTGTCGCGAGGATATTATTAATGCTGCTATCATCGAGGGTCATTTCAACGGCTACCGCGACGCCGTTTTTTTTCTCTCTCTTTCCAAAACGTATAGTAAATTTTTCGCATCAAATTTTTCGACGAATCCTCGTACCACGAAAAGGAAAAAAACTGCTTCTTTAACCGTCATCGCCTGAAACGAAAATTACTACCGCGGTACAACCGGCTGGCGCGGACGCTCTCTCGCCCATTGAAAGCCATCTGTAGGTAGCCGGCCGGTGGCTGGCGATGGGTGCATTGCCGAAGAAAGGAAGAGGGTCGCCCCCTGGCAACGGCGAATGGGCATGGGTACCAGACCATCGCGAGCCCGGTACCGGCGGGCGAAGTTCGATTCAGTCTCGCGGCGGTACGCTCTGACGAAAGGATGGTGAGATTTTTTGCGGCAAAGATCGATGTTTGTCCGGTTTGTTGGTAAAGTTTTGACGGCGGTTTTTCCGTTAACGATATTGGAGTTTTTGTTTTGGATTATATTTGGTGAGTGGATAATGAAGGTGTAGGTATTCCGTGGGTAAGTACTACTTATATTAAAAATGTATGAAAAAATGTTTCTTTATTGATCTTTGCAATTAACAAAAACCGTTTGTATTTTGTTAATTGTAATAGTGACTTTATAATAATTATAGGTTTTTTTTGTTTGGTTCAAATGGAACTCAATTTAATCAAGTAAAAAGTCGAAGTTTCGAAACATACATTGTCTTCCTCAGGACTGTACTGTCCTTAATGAAGTTAAAGAAGCCTCAGGACTTACTGTTTTTGACAAAGAAAAGACTTTTAAAAGCAGGATAGTCCTGAGGAAATAGACAATATATTTATCGAAACTTGTCGAACTTTTTACTTAACTTTTATTAGTTTTATTGATAAATACTAGTTATACAGGGTGAATTTTAAATAAGTGCAAATATTTTTAGGACTAGTGGATCTCGATAAAAGGAACAAATTTTCTCTTTACGGTTATTCAAATAAGTCCAAAACAACCGAGATATTTTACTTGGAAAATAAAAAAAAATATATTTTTCCCTTAAATTTTGAAAACCACTGGGTTTCCTCCCCCCCCCCTGGTGTTTCCCACTTTTCTGGGTTTTGTAAATTGTGTGTGGGTCTAGTAAATTTAATCTACTACATATGTTGCCATGTTATGAAGATATTATGTTTATTAACTAAGAATTTAAAAAAATCAAAATTTTTTTTTTCGCGAAAAACCCTCATAGACGTGTTTCTAGGATCAAAATATAATGCCTCTAAAAACATTTGGACTTATTTAAGACTCACCCTGTATACACGAAGACCAGTGGTTTTTTCATTTATACCCTTGTTTATATTTTATACTAAGAAAGTTGGGCAAAGGAAACAACTTTCATTCATAAAAAAGCATGTCATTCATTAAAGATAATTCTACTGGGGATAAATAATATCTAATATTATAGTATGGGACGTTGATAGGGGTATGATAGTTTACTGTAACTAAGTGATTAACTATACAGGATGTCCACGGATCGTCTTTACATGAAAAAAAACATAAAATAAAAAACAATAATTATTAAAGTTTTTGTTTGTTCTAAAATAGTTAATTCCGTTTCTACGTTTTCACTACCGATTCAGAAAAGATACCATACGATAAAAATAAACGGCGTCAAAGACAGCTGGAGAATGACTATCGATGATAATTTTGGCGAGGTCAAGACCTAGACGTTATTTACTTGGCTCATACTATATCTACTTTACTCTTTAATGGCGCTTACTGCCAGTTCGCCTTAAAAAAGTTGGAATTTATTTTTATATTGAGTAAAAATTATTTGTAAATGGTGTTAGATTTTTTTAAATTCCAGAAAAGAAATTTTGAAATAGATTTGTTTGTCGTTTTTGGAAAGGGTATATCTTTTTTTAAAACGCCGTTTTTTTTTCAATCATACGGTACAATACTAAGGTTACTCTATGCAACAAAAACTTACGATTTTATCTTCCATTGGCTGACTGGACTTTTTATATTATTTTTAATAATATCATTTTTTTCGATCATACAGTATATTATGAAAATATGTTTCATTTTTTAGAAAAATAATCTCTGGTCAAATCAATTATTTTCCATTATTACTAATTACCGTATGATCAAAAAAAAACGGCGCCAGTGATCGCTGTGAAATGAAGATCGCTGTCATTTTATATGTAAAATTATATGGAGATTGTCATCGATTGTCAAAAATAACAAAAATTTATTCGAGTTATTCTCCCAAAAAATATATGATAATAATATAATATTCTCCCTTAAAAAATTAATAAAAAGTCTCCAAAAACGTTTAATTAATATTTCGTTTAGCGCTTCTTGCTTGATACTGGAAAATTATGTTATTTTTCGTTAAGTTCTTAAAATATAATAAACTGTTTTAATTTAAAATTAAAAAAGACTACGGGTCAATTAATGACGTCTAGGGCTTGACCTTGCCAAAATTATCATCGGTTGTCATTGTCCAGCCATCTTTGAGGCGGTTTTTTTTCGATCGTATGTTGTAAACGGTATTAGCTATTTTAAAATAAGCAAAATATTTTGCGAAGAATGCAATACATTGTTAAGATACGCTAAAATAAATTCGCAAATATGGTTTATAAATGGTACATTGATAACCGAAAATAAATATTCTAATATTTGATTGACCTTATAGGTATTAGTTATCACAAAAAGCCAAAAATTACCGTATCTCCCCTTGTTACCTAGAACTTCCGCTGGTACTAAGAAAAACTCTTTATAAACAAAAAACAAGGGAAAACTAAAAACATGTATTTCTATACCGGGTGCGTTTCAAAAGTGGCTCACCCCTATAACTTTTTTATTTTTTCAGTCAAAAAAACGAGATTTGGTAAATTAGTTTGTGACATAAATTAGGATTGATTGACGTGTTCAATTGTTTTCGGTCACTTCCTGTTTCACCGGAAATGACTACAACTTTTGATTTTTAAATGGCACCCTTGGTATTTTTTTACTTTATTCATCAGAAAATAACACTCTGAATAGAATGACATATGATATGTCAACTTTTGACATTTCGCATATGGTTTATTTGAAATTATAACTTGCAGTTCGTAACGAAAATTTGACTCGAAATACCAAGTGTGTGGTATTAAATTATTCTTAAAAAAATACTCTAATGAGCCACTCTCGTTCTATTTGAAAAAATTGAGATATGATTAAAAATACGATTTGTGCAATTTCTAACTGTTCAGGACAAGACACTAAAAAACATTATACGATCAAATCTATTTTTCCAAAGCTCCTTGATTAAGAATTAGTTTTTTTAACATAGCCATGACACCCTAAATTGAATTTTAAAATATTATTTTTTATTAAGCGAGAATGTCAAAAGTTGACATATGATATGTCATTCTATTCAGAATGTCATTTTCTATCGAATAAAGTAAAAAAATACCGAGGGTGCCATTTAAAAATCAAAAGTTGTAGTCATTTCCGGTGAAACAGGAAGTGACCAAAAACAATTGATTACGTGAATGAATCCTAATTTATGTCATATACTAACATACCGAATCTCATTTTTGTCTCTGAAAAAATAAAAAAGTTATAGGGGGTGAGCCACTTTTGAGGCGCACCCGGTATAGTAGGAAAACATATTTTATGGTGTACTTATTTAAACCCATTTTTCAATTACATATATTTTCTTTAATTATTGACCTTCGACTTTTCAGCAGGTCTTCGGTATAACCCAAACATTAACTAATAAAAATATAGTTTGTTCAACGAGAAAGTACATGTCAGTGATAGTCCTACCTGTCATTTTAATTCATATGTAAACTGTATTTTGTGTCAGTTCCTAAGCATTTTTTTGTCCGTTAAGCAAATTTGTTTATTAGTAAATCGTTTTTGTTGTTGGTCTGTTGGATTAGCAGCCAGTGTTTACAAAAAAATAGTTATTTCATATTGTAAATTTCCTTAGAGTGCAAGTGGCGAAATACCTATTATTATACAGGGTGAGTCTTAAATAGTGCAAATATTTTTAGGAGGAGTATATTTCGGCCCCAGAAACAAGATTATGAGGTTATTTTCGTATTTTTTGTATTTTAGTTAAAAAACACAATTTCTTGATTATATGGCAACATAGGTAGTAGATTAAATTTACAAGGAAGAAAATCCAGAAAAGATCCAATGGTTTTCAAAATTTTAGCAATTTTTTTTTAATTTTCCAAGTAAAATAACTCGGTTATTTTGGATTTATTTGAAAAACGGTAAAGAGAAAATATATTTCTTTTATCGAGATCTACCAGCCCTGAACATATTTGCAGTTATTTAAGACTCTGTATATCTCATTCATCTCATTCATTGTCACAAATTGTTATTCCTATATTAAATTCATGAAATCTTGTAAATAATAATAATTTTCATTTTCGTAAATTAAGTTTCCGTCTTAATTGTAAATTGGTGAATTTTAAAATGAAAAAGCAGATATCTGGATTTATATCTCTGATTTTATACTGATATTTCCAGAAAATAACGTATTGATACGGTATAATTTTATTTCCATCAATTTCACGTTAGTAAACATATAATACAAAAATTCTGACAATATGGTTTGAAAGAACACGTAAAAAGTATGAAAATTGCATCGCTAGAATGTTATATGAACAAATATGCAACCGAAACCGAAGTCGAATGTATTGTGTGCCATTTGGTCAAGTGCCAAGCGGCACAAAGCGGACATGACTCATATTTTTACCCCTTGATTGTGTTTGGTATTGTTCGTGTTACCCTCGTTTTCAAACGAATTGATTACGTCGACTGTACTACCTCCCTTAAAAATCAGTTGAGGCACAATATTAACCTGGTGTAGATTGTGTTGACTAATATATTTTTTATAAACTGAATTTATACAACCGGTAAGATTTTTATAATTTTATGTTTTAATAATTTTATGTATGTCAAGAAATATTATAAAAATATAGGTTGTGTGAGACTGAATAAATAATCGGTAAAATTAATAAAATTAATATATTTTTAATCGATAAAAATAAAAATTATTTAAAAAAAAATAAAAATATAAATTATTTTATCGATAAAATTAATAAATTAACAGAGTTTCAAAAATAATATTATAGTGATAAAATAAAAAGTATACAGAGATCATTATAGTTATATACAGGGTCTCCCAGGTTGAGCGTACATTAGAAATTTCTCGAGAACTATAATATCTAGATCGGAGATTTTTTGCACATCATTGTTTCACAACGAGATCTATCGATTGAAAATATTTTCAATATGGGGGCACTTCCGAAAATACCGGAAGTTGACCGCAACTTTCTTATTTTAAAGGAAAAAAACTGCCTGTCAATAAATTGTTATAGCCTAAACTTCAAATTTAGACATTAACACAGCCACTTTGACATAAAGAGAAAACATGTGGTTATGTATTTCAAAAACAAAATTGTTTGAATGACAGACAGATTCCATGACAGCTACGGCCAATATTATATGACATTCAAACAATTTAATTTTTGAATTAGATAGCG